TTTCTGCTTATTGTCTACTTCATCTTATTTAGACTAGCAACTGCACTAGCTTGTATGCTCCCCAACTGGAAAAATGCTCACTGGGTGGCTACAAATGTCAGCTTTGCTTTTATTATGAAAGCACTGCTCACGGAGCAGGCTTTGGCACAGACGTTTTAAGGCTGATTGAAACATTCATAGCACATATTAGAAGGCCAAGATCTGAGTCCATCTCTGCTTGTGAGTCCAGCTGCCTGATACTATGCACCCTGGGGTCAGAAGGTGACAGTTCAAGTCGTTGGTTCTCTGCCACCCATGGGGAAGATTCCTGTTGAGTTCTGAACTACTGGGCTTCCTCCTCAGCCAGGCTCGGCTACTGCAGCCTTTGGGAAGTGGAAGAGCAGAAAAAGATTTTCTTGAATTTTTCTCCATTTTCTCTCCTTCTACCTTGGCTTTTCAAATAAGTAAAAACTCAAACAAAAACAGAGGAAACTATGCATGTCAGACTCACAATTATGCATGTTAGATTCAGAGTTACTGGTTAATATCCGTATTTTTAAATACAGAAAAGGAAGAAAGGACGACAGGAGGGAGGAGTACAGGAACTTAATGGATGGCAAATTCCTGTTTGGTGGTTTAAAGGTCACTCACGGGGTCGGACTTGGGCCTGGCAGTGAAGGTACTGATTAAAATACCCACATAACATGGTGAAATGCCTGGACTCAAATCCCAGCTCTGCCCCCAGTTGCAGCTGTTTACTAAATGTGCATTATGGAATACAACAGCTAGTGATTCAAACAGCTACATCTCTTCCATTGCTATGGAAGACCTGAGTTGAGGTCCTAGCTCCTGGCTTGACCCAGCCCTAGCTCTTCTGGAAATCTGGAGAATGAATGAGTGGGTGGAAGTTCTCTGTCTCTGAAATACAACGCTAACATTTTAAACATAAATAAAAAGGTAACTCAAATCAGTATACCTTTGATTATATATTGACACAGACGTGTTTAACAAAAAAAAGTTTCAATCCCTTCTGTGCCTTGGGAAAACAAAAAAATAGATGTGGGGGCTATTTTGCATTCCATCCATAGGCACCAAACCTTTTAGTTTAATCTTATACGCTGAGCCAGTAAACATACACACACTAAATCCATGAACACACACGCACGCACGCATATTCACCACGTGAACACATGAGACAATGCTTTAGCATATGCATTGCACTGAAAGCCTTTGACACTGATTTCCTCCCTCCCTCCTTCCTCCTCTCCTTGCTTCCTCCGTGCTTGTGCATGCTCTTTCAGTTTCCTACGCCTAAGTGCATCATGACCTACAAGATGACAGTATTGCCCTTCAGGAGGCCACTGCCACTGTTTGAGAGCCACGAGGCCTAGGACCCTGGCTGACATGAGGTCTGGTCAAATCTCAATGGAGCAGGAATGTTCTGTCCCTGAGAGATGACCAGGATGGATGTTGAATCAAGGATACTCATGGTTCACCAAACTCCTGGTAAGGTTCAAGACCAGTAAGTGCCATTTGCAGCCAAGCAAAGCTGAGAAACGGACCCCTGACATTCAGGCAGATCATGTCCTGAAACAGCAGGCTTTGCACAGCCTTGTCAGCCCCCATCTCCGCCCTACGAGACTTCAGTGATCATGCGTGCTCACTACTACTGTAACCGGAAACTCTCTGCCTCATTTCCAAGGAGATCAAGGGCTCAGCCCTGCTTTACCTGAGAAAATTCATCTGAGACACTGGAGATGCCTCATGGCTGCATAGAGACTCACACACCTGTCCAGGCAGGAAAGACTTCAGCTAGGGCATTTCCATCTGTGACAGGAAGTCGAGGAAGCTACTAGGAGGACCCAGGAGAGAGAAGGCATCAATAGAGCTCAACGGAACTCATCTTTCAGAGCCGAGAATCTGAGTGAGGAGAAAAATGGGGCACTCCACACATTTCACTTACTGAGTCAAAAACAGCACCAACACTCAACACTGGACAAAAACACAAACTCACAGACAATTGTGCTTCTTTAAAAGTTGCTTTATATTTATTTTATAGACAGATTTTGCAGAGAGAATTGGCTTATTCGCTCCCCAAATGGTCACAAAAGCCAGATCTGAGCCTATTCACAGCCCATCTTCCAGGTAGCCCATGTGAGTGCAGGGTCCCAAGGACCTGGGGCATTTATTGCTGCTTTCCCATGCCATAAGCAGGGAGCTGGATCAGGAAGTAGAGCAATCGGCTTATATGGGCTGTTGGCACTGCAAGTGAAGGATTAGCTTGCTGCACCATACTTATAATCCTTTGGTTTCTGTGCTCTTATTTTTGATTCACATGATAAGAGGAATAGCAATTTGGTACATTTTGAGGTTTAGGAAATGACAAGTGACATTTTTTAAATTTCACATTTCATGGGAATTAGGACCTGAAAAAAAAATCATGGTTTTAGTGCTCTCAAGAGCCCCAAGTTAAAAACCTTAAATGCTGTGATAAATCTGTCCAATAGCGGTCGGGAAGGCTGGCATTCTGGTGTGGCAAATTAAGCTTACACTGGTGGTGCCAGCCTCCATTCTAGAGCAACAGTGGAAGTTCCAGTTGCTTCACTTTCAACCCAGCTTCTCGCTAATAAACCAGAGAAGGTGGCAGTCGAGGTCCAAGCACTTGGGCCTTGTCACTCACACAGGCTCACGTCTTCAGCCCAGGCCAGTCCTGGAGGTTACAGCTACCCAGGAAGTGAGCCAGCATTTAGATTTCTCTGTCTCAGTCTCAGCCTGTCTCTACTACACTGTCTTTCAAATACACAGTACAAATACATATTTAAGAAGAGTCTTCTCAAAGTAAATGAGGGTAGTTTCAAATGCGTGAAAGCAACTTAATACTTTTATACTGTCTTCTGGAAACTTTAAGTGAGGCAGTGGTTCTTCCTGAAGTCGCCCAGCTGCATCCATCGCTCATTAAGAATCAAAGGCAGAGGACGGGCGAAGTCAGAAACATCCTCCGTGGTTGCCGGGACACAAATATGAGACCTTTAGCTCCTGTTTCTCCCACAGATGGTAGTAATTGGGCTTTGGAACATAGTGGACAGTCAGATGAACAATAAAATCGCCTGATACCTTGGAAAGGTCGTGTCACACTGGAGTTAGAGAAACACTGCAGATTTTCCCCATAACTGCTTATAAGATTTCTTTGTGTTTTTTTCCGGTTTAGTCTCTCTGTGAACTGCTATGTGGCTTGTGAAGCAGGGACTCCTGATCTAGCCATGAAATTAATGCACTGGGGGAAAATGACGAAGCTGATTCTCTATTAAGCTCAAACTTCATAATCGGAGTACAAAGAGGATCTCCAAAAGCCCAGGGAAAAGTGAACTGAGCCTTCTAAGCTAGGTTTATTTCAGCACATTTTGAACGCACACCTCTTAGGGTGTACACCCTCTGAGAATCAACTGCAAATTTTTTTGTCGCACAATAAAATTCTCTTTCATTTGCGTATGTATTTGTTTGAAAGCCGGCAGACACACAGAGAGAACTTCCATGTAACTAGCTTATTCTCCAAACACCTGCGACAAGCAGAGCTGGACCCATCTGAAAACTCAATCCAAGTCTACCCTGGGGACAGGAGCTGAGGGACGGGAGCCATCCTGTCGCCTCCTGCTGTTATTGGTCTTTATGCACAGACAGCCGGAGTGAGGAAGAAGAGTCAGGCACTAAAGCCAGCCACTGCTGAGACAAAATACGGGATACAAGCCTCTTAACTGTTACCTGAACGCTGGCCCTCAACCTTTTAACTCAACAGTCCCGCCAATGTTTTTAAATCCTTTCAGACAGCCATTTGCTTTTCATATAACTGAAATCCTTATAGGAACAAGGGAAAGAGACTGCGTATTTCCAAGCTGTTGCCAAATATCTTTTGGTCCCGTCCTCTGACAGCCAATACAGTTTTATAACATAAATACAACGAGTGTTCAGGGAAGCACGTCACCTTGATCCTTGCTTTCTGAGGACCAAGGGCACGCATGACCATCTCTGCAAGCTCGACACTGTTGGCTAGCAGCCGATCAGGGTGGAAACACTGAGAGATGTTAATGGGAATAATAAATAATTAGCAGAGATGTTAGAAGAAATCCAATCAGCCCAAGTAACTGTGTCATGCCCTTGATTAGGACCCGTTATGCTAAGGAGCTGTCAGAACCCTGGGATTGAGAGGCCAACAGCTGACCTCGCCTTAGGCAACTAGCATTTCATCCAAACTCCTATTTAAGAGTCAGGACTCATTTATTCATGACTTGGATGTCACACGCAATTTTGCCCGGATTCATGTGGACAGGTACCTCCTGCATCTGGTAACAAGACCGGCCTTGGTGAAAACTCAATTGACCTTGACTCACCCGGGACCTGATGTGGTTTGGGGTATCTCATAGTCTCCCTGAGGCCTGGCCTCTTCCTCTCTAAGCTAACCTTCTCCCAGCATCCAAAACCCATCCAGCCAGCCACTCGGAACTGAACGTGGAAACATCTTCCAAGCCGTCATTCATGCTTGGATGCTTTTAGCCCTTGATTTCTCCTTAGCCTTGATGACTGGAAGCCCTGTACTTCGAGCTCACCTGCGCCAACACATCCTCAGACACATCGTTTGATAATTAGCCCACAGCTATGCAGCCGGATCTGGGTCTCTGGGGTTCAGAATACGTTTCTCCTTGGTTCGCGTGTCATTCCTCTTTTAACTCTCAGGTTGCAGAATGCTGGTCCTTCTCTGGGTTCTGTGATGGGGAGAAGTATACTGCCATTACTCAACAAGTAGGCTACCATTACTTTTTAAAATCACTTTTGTCACAGTGACTTTTAAACACTGGATGTAATTGGTTCAAAGGAATCAATCGATTAATAGGAATGAATGATCCTTAAACAATAAAGGAGGGGGCAAGTTTGCAAATATATTTTCAGGACCCATCTCAATTGACCATACAGAAACTTGTCAAGCCGATTGTATTTCCAGGAGTCTGTGAGCACCACGAGCCGCTGCCATGAGCAAAGCTCACCCTCCCATGTTGAAAAAGTTTGTGGACAAGAAATTGTCATTAAAATGCAATGGCAGCAGACATGTCCAGGGGATACTGCGAGGATTTGATCCCTTCATGAATCTGGTGATATATGAATGTGTGGAGATGGCAAATGGTGGACAGCAGAACAATATTGGGATGGTGGCAATACAAGCCAATGGTATCATCATGTTAGAAGCCTCGGAACAAGTATAATGAGTGTTTGGCAAAGAAATCCATGTCTGCTCTCCAAAAGGACCTGCTTTGCTATGATGTGATATGAAAGTTGGAACATGTACATTTTCATGGCTTTTGGGTTTTTTTTTTAAATAAACTTTTGTGATAGTTTAAAAAAAAAGGAAGAAGAAAGAAACAAACTCATCAAGTCTTGAGTAAATACCTCAGGTTAGCTTTCCAAGATCCAATTATTATGAGAAGTTCTCTACTTAACAGGAAAAGCTGGGGCTGGTGCCATGGCACCGTTGGCTAGGCTACCACCTGCAATGCCAGCATCCCAGTGGACACTGGTTCAAGTCCCTGCTGCTTCACTTCCCATCCAATTCCCTGCTAGTATACCTGAGAAAGCAGTAGAAGGTGGTCCAGGTTCTTCGGCTCCTGTACATATGTAGGAGATCCGGAAGAAGCCCCTGGTTCCCAGACTTGGGCCAGTCCACCTGAGACCTTTACTGCCATTTGGGGACTGAACCAGCTGCTGGAAGATACCTATGTGTATACGTGTGTCTCCTTCTTCCTGTAAATCTGCATTCCAAATAAAAATAGAAAGATCTTTTTAAAAAGAGCGAACTAGAAAAATTAGGTCAGCTACCGCAAAAGCTTTGCAGTACTGACTAGGTGGTTGAAAAACGGCCTGATTCTGGCATCACACACATACAACAAAAAGGTTTTGAAAAAAATCTATTCTCCTCACTGACGGAACAATACTTCATCAGGCTCTTCTTTTTTTCCAGTAAGAGTTTATCTATGGTGAAAGTTGAGGAACACATCATTGACTTGGCAGCTGGTTAAGGCTTTTCAGAAAATTTGTTAAAATAAACGAAGAACTCGCACCTGTAGTAAGGGTTGAAATGATCAGTAGTCACCAAGCAAAAGCAACTGCAGCACAAGATGAAGCTAACAACCATCTTCCTTACATAAAGGGCCCTGCAGGTAATGACCTAGTCAAAACAAGCAGAGGGCACAGCTTTAATTTACAGGCATAAAAGGAAGTACTAACAAGGATGTGTGAATACAAAACTCCGTTAAACAAACAAGGAAGGATCACCCAGGGGCTTTATCCAGGTGTGGCATTTGAGAAGACTTCTGTCCAAGCCGGAAGGCAGCCTGAAAGCATCCCTGGGAACACCACTCTTGGGAAACCCAAGAGAGGGACCCATGCCATGAAAGGCGGACAAATCCAGCTTACCAGGGTGTGGATCTCCTCAGTCATCAAGTAGGTACAGGCAGAGAGGAGCTGCAGGGCCCTGCAGCATGAGCACCTCTCACCTGTGAGAAAAGATAATCACATATGGACCAAAACCAGAAGCTAGCAGCCTCAGCACTGTGGTCTAGCAAGCTAATCCTTTGTCTGCAGTGCCGGCATCCCATAGGATCAGGGATTCTAGTCCCAGCTGCTCCACTTCCCATTCCAGTCCCTGCTTATGGACTGGGAAAGCGGTGAAAGATGGCTCAAGTCCTTGAGCTTCTACATGTGCATGGGAGACTTGGAAGAAGCTCCTGGCTCCCAGCTGCAGACCGGCCCAGCTCTGACCTTTGCAATCATTTGAAGAGTGAACCAGCAGATGGAAGATGTCTCTCCCTTTCTCTCACTGTAATTAAAGTAAATAAATCTTTGAAAGGAAACACAGAAGTCAGTATTGCTCCCAAAAACCGACATGAGCAGCAACACACAAATAACACACTTGGCAGCACACTCCCCACCCGTGGTCACTGAGAACTTCATGTCTCCTGTGCTGTCGAGCGCAAGACGTGCTGGATGTATGAGACCAAGCCACAGTGCACCAAGTTCTCCTAAACACAGAGGGGATGCCAGGTGACTGTCATCACGCCAGCTTCCCCCGAAGAGGCAGACATCGAAGTAAAGTTTTTATCCTGAGTGTGCAAAATGAGATATCTGGTATAAGACAGAGGAAGCTTCTGCATTGCGGACGGGCACTCTCTGTGGTGCTGAAAACATTATCTAAAGGCACAGCTGTATCTATCACCTTAGCACATCATTTACTATTTTTTTTTCAACTTTCATCCTCGTATATTTCCCTAGTATTTACTCAAAAGGATGCCAATTCTCTCCAATAATTACCAAAAACAGGTGAGCAGCTTGGCTGTTTGGCAGCTTCCTACAACTTTGGAGCCACCAGAGATAAAAACCGTTTTCACTTTCGTTGATTCCCTTAATGCCCCCGGGGGGGGTGGAGAATACCTGAGGAAGTCACTGGATCTTTAAACCTCTGTTTCTAGCACAACTGCATTCAAGGAACCAATGATGCGTATGTATTTTTCCAGCTGCAGGGAATGCCGCCTGCCGCATTTTGCTGTTTTCAGAGCTCGCCATGTTCCATTTACTCCTCACTGATGTTGAAAGTGAGCGATCTGGCTTCTGTAGGTGAAGGTTTTTACTGATTTTTTTTTTCAGCAGAGTTGTGGGTCAGACTACAAGACCTTGCAGAAAACTCCACCCTACCACACACCCTCCACCAGCACCCCCCGCGTTGCGCTCTCCCCTCCCACTGCCCAGCCACTGTCTCCAAGACCCCACAGGGAGACCCCAGGGCTATTAAAACCAGGTCCCCTGAGATGTGTTGTCGCAGCAAGAATGGCACTTGTGACTCCCGGTCAACAGCAGCATGATGCAACTCATGCAGAATTCAGGATCACCAGCTCCAGGGGGCGTTTCCTGCTCGGTGCAGGCCGACGCTGATGGGACAGCAGCCAGAAAGGACCCAGGGGCTTCTTGGTTCACAAAGGAGATTCGGAACACATGACTGGGCGGGAACGAGGGGCTTTCCCCACTCATGCCTCGCTCTGAGCTTCTCTCCTGCCCCAGGATACCTTCCCCCATCCCCACTTCCTCCTGCTCAATATCCTGTCTTTTGTCCTCTTCCTCCCCTTTGCTTGTCCTTCCTCTTGCCCTCCCTCCCTCTCCCACCTGCCCACAACACAGAGACTTCCATACATCACACAGGCACACACAGTCCTCGTTAAAGGAAGTCCCTGCTATTTAAAGAACACCAAGCAAGAGAACAAGCAGCTCAAGCAAGCTCAAGCAAAGCAGCACTATGCAGGGAAGCAAACCCTTGATCAGAGTGACTGCTTACCCTCATTCCTTGTCACATGTGACCTACTTGCCTTCATTTCCCTTCCCAGCGTGATTCATTGTTTTTCTCCTCCTGCAAGCAGACATAGCTTACAGAGCAGAGGCTGCGCCTCAGAGATCTGACTCACTCTTGCACACATCTGTGTACAAGCACATGTGTGTGGGTGAGAGTCTCTGAGTGTGCACACACATGCATGCTCATCAACTCAAGTGTGCGCGTGTACGTTCATGGTTAAAAGGGGGTGTGCCACGGCTCACGTGCAGACCCCGGAGGTTAGTGGCTGAATAGGCAGAACTTGGAGTTCTTACAAACACTTTGAATATGAAAAGACAAATTTGTACAATGTAGGTGCATTAGTCACTTGCAGTTCACTAATTGTCCATTTTATTTTAATGCTAATGCTTCATGAACATGTAGTAAATTGACATAATAACAGAGTTGGATGCATTCTCGGTGTTGTAGCTCTAATATGCCTAATTTTATTCAGCATGCATAAACGCAAGCTATTAGGATTTCCAGACTAAATGGGGGAATTGAAGGAGACCTGGTTGCTCCCAGAAACACCCAGGGCAGCCGAACATGGCATACTATCGTTGCCATGGTAACGGAGATATTCACTACCAGAATCGCAACTATATATCACCAATTTAGTGCTCTACTAAACACAAAGTAATACTTCTTTTAATGATGCTGGGCTGCGGTTTCTAGAAATACAAGTATGGGCTCCCTGCAGCTAGTGCCAAATTGTCAGACCACAGCTATCTGTGATGGCTCTTAATAAGAAAGCATTTAGCAAATTGCCTGCACAACCTTTGGTAGCAAATCTCTAAATTTGTGACTAGGTGTCTGTAACAGGCCAAATCTAAGGACTGCGAACCGGTAACTGACCACAAAGGCTGGCCCTTGGCTCACTCCACTGTGAACAACCACGTTTGCATGTGGCCACGTGGTCTGTGGGTGAAATGATGTGACAGCGTACACAGATAGAGCTTGAAGACAATAGCACAGGAAGCCCAGCCTCTATATTTACTCCCTGGCTGATAGATGCTAGCAGAGAGGGAATCCTCCACGTTCCGCTCACTACACTGCCATGCGTACCAAACTCATTCTCATTTTTATCTTCGCTTGTTCAGAAAAACATCCTCTGTGGCAAAGCCAGAGGAATCTCGTGCTGTCATCTCTCTGGAATCTCTCCCTTGACTCAAAGAGTGCATTGTAAAGAGAGCTGTGGATGAGTCCAATTCCTACCTCTTCCCTTTGGGTTTTCCTGAGGACACAATCCTTTCTGTTGCTGCCTGCTGTTCCTTTCCACATCCCTTCAGAGCTGACTGCTGGAAGGGCAGGTGCAGGAGGGCGTTTGTCTACAGGTAGTGAAAAGCCTGTGAGAGCCAAAGAGAGAGAGTTGAATTTCGAAATTCTCTCCGACTTTGAAGTTGGTTTTGAGAAGGTTACAAAATTGCCTAAGCCTACAGTTTTCTCATCATTAAAGCAGAGGTGGGTTGTTGGAGACGCAGCAGAGACAACTGTGGCCCTGTGCCTGCAGTTGCTTGGTGCAGCCAGGTCACTGCATGCCCTTCGGGGGACTCCCAGGTCTTTATTCTATGTGGAATCTTCTTGACCCTCTGGGACTCTTGCACAGATGGCCGTCGGAGGTCTGCCGGGGTCAGATGTGAACCCCTGGCCTTTGTATGATGAGGGATGAAGCTGATCAGAGAACAGGTGAAGGACATCATCAAGCATGGCCACTAGGTACAGCAGGGACAAAAGCCGGCACATTTTCCCGTGCTTACTGAATGAACTTTCAAAAACGACATTTTTCTGGAGCTGAGAATCATGGTTTCATTAAATGGTGAAATAATTGTGTGCCATTTCCCCTACTAATTA